TGGGGGAACCACTAAGGCTTTCCTTGGTTATACAGGTCAGTTTTGGGCCTTTTGGCATTAGATATTTATGTTATATCTGATTTTATGCTGAACTTCCATAGGTTTATTTGTGCAAAAATCTGTGTATGTGTTTCAGCTGTATGTTGCCCTCTGACATTAAAATGATACAGAGCCGGGTCTCTGCAAAACTTGCATGAACTACATATGCATACCTCGTGTGTATTAGTTATGAACACAATGGAGTGATTATTTTTCAACAAATGATTTGCAAATGTTTTCTTGTTGGCAAATTGTTCACAAAGAGTCTGTGATATAAACAAACTAGGGAAATACATCCTAGATGGAGCTACTATAAGGTGGGTGCATAACTGGTTGGAAAATTGTTCCCAGAGAGTAATCATCAGTGGTTCACAGTCATGCTGGAAAGGCATAATGAGTGGGGTCCCACAGGGATCGGTTCTGGGTCCGGTTCTGTTCAATATCTTCCTCAATGATTTAGATAATGGCATAGAGAGTACATGTATAAAGTTTGCGGACGATACCAAGCTGGGAGGGGTTGCAAGTGCTTTGGAGGATAGGATTAAAATTCAAAATGATCTGGACAAACTGCAGAAATGGTCTGAAGTAAATAGGATGAAATTCAATAAGGACAAATGCAAAGTACTGCACTTAGGAAGGAACAATCAGTTGCACACATACAAAATAGGAACTGATTGCCTAGGAAGGAGTACTGCAGAAAGGGATCTGGGGATCATAGTGGATCACAAGCTAAATATGGGTCAACAGTGTAGCACTGTTGCAAAAAAAAGCAAACATCATTCTGGGATCTATTAGCAGGAGTATTGTAAACAAGATGCGAAAAGTAATTCTTCCGCTCTACTCCGCGCTGATTAGGCCTGAACTGGAGTAATGTGTCCAGTTCTGGATGCCACATTTCAGGAAAGATGTGGACAAATTGGAGAAAGTCCAGAGAAAAGCAACAAAAATGATTAAAGGTCTAGAAAACATGGCCTATAAGGGGACATTGAAAAAATTGGGTTTGTTAGTTTAGAAGAGAAGACTGAGAGGGGACATGATAAAAGTTTTCAAGTACATAAAAAGTTGTTACAAGGAGGAGGGAGAAAAATTGTTCTTCTTAACCTCTGAGGATAGGACAAGAAGCAATGGGCTTAAATTGCAGCAAGGGTGGTTTAGGTTGGACATTAGGAAAAACTTCCTAACTGTCAGAGTGGTTAAGCACTGGAATAAATTGCCTAGGGAGGTTGTGGAATCTTCATCATTGGGGATTTTTAAGAGCAGGTTGGACAAACACCTGTCAGGGATGGTCTAGATAATTCTTAGTCCTGGAGGGCAGGGGACTAGACTAGATGACCTCTCAAGGTCCCTTCCAATTCTATGATTCTATGATTGTTACATTTATTCACTGTTCAAAACCATTAGTGAATTTCCTCAACAAATAATTCTAGATCTGTAGATTGTTCATAAACACTTGACTGTGACTATTCAAAAATGGCATTGTATTGATTAGTTAATCATGTGGTATTGATTCAGTTCCTTTATCGGGTGAATTAAGCTGCCAATTCAGTAAAGCACTTAGGGTAGGCCTCAAAGCCCTTAAGCATGTGTTTAACTTCTTCCCTATACAGCAAAACACTTCATCACATTCTTAACATTAAGCACATGTTGAAGTGCTTTGCTGAATCAGGGCCTAAATCTCTAACTGACCTAGAGTGAATTGTGAATCTGACTGTTGATTGTACAATTCAAAATGTGTCTTCAAAGAATATTTGAGTGTAAACTGAACTTTTCATGGTTATTCCTGCTAGTAAATAATTCTCAAGTGCTCAAATGTTTCTAAAAAGTGAACACACAAAACTTGCAAAGAGAGTCAAATAGAAATTTACTTTTGAATTCACATGAATATTCATAAATAATTTTCTCCATTAGTCACTCAGCTGCAGTCAGTAATATATGATTTTCTGTAAATAGATTACGTCTCTCTCTCCCGTTTTCTAGATTCCATGAATAATAAATGCACTTTTAAAAAATTTGTCTTCTCTCTCTGTTTGAACCTTCTTACCAAGAGACAGGGAGACAGTAATATAAAATGGAGACACATTGTACCAAATCCCATTAACACTAAAACCCTGCTTTCTGCACTGATACTTGATATACAGTATTAAATTTGGATACATCTGAATGCCTTCTTATGCCAATAAAGAGACTTTCACTGACAAAATTGAGATAGACTCACAGAAAGTAGAGACTGAAAAGACCTGTTAAATCATGGGGTATCCTGCTGCTAGTGTAGTATGTTCCTTAATGTTGATACGATGGGCCAGATTTGCAGGTGGTGTGAATCAGCAAAGCTATGCTAATTCATAGCAGTTGAGGATCTGTGATTATATTTGATTATGTAACTTATGGTAAAGTAATATTTGCTGTATTCATGAATTTGAAAAAACTATTTCAAATATACAGTGATTATTTCTCTCAACAAATAAGTGTCACCTCTTCCCAGGAGCGGTTGGATAGGAGCATAAAAATAATTGAATGTGAATATGTGTCCAGCTTGTGCTCCAGTGAATGTATATGGTATTTTCCAGGGAGAAGAGGAGAGAGGGAGCTTCCTTGAAGCTTTACTTAAAGCACCTTCACACGTTATAACTGACAATTTCTCACAAAATCCAGGGACTGTATGTCTCATACCTGTACTGTAGACGCCACTGATCTCATCTGAGTTTTCTTCACCAATCAAGCATGGTAAGTCCTAGTTTCACTGAGCACTTTGTGTGTGTGTGTTTGTCATGTTTTGTCCATTATGAAAACAAATGGGTCTATTTAAGTAGGAATTGCATGTATTCTGGAAGCCACTTCACATGCAAAATTCCCACTGAGTTCAATGGGAGTTGCACAGGCGAGGGGCTGCAAGACCAGGCCCTTAATGAGATCTTGAGATAACCATTACTGTTACAAAAAATACACAGCTACACAGTATTCTTCAATGCTGATTCTGTGTGACTAGTAGATGACCTTTGAAAGACTAGACCTTACTCTTTTGACCTAAATTTGACTTGACTTGGAAAGTTTGGCCAGTGGTAATTAGTAATTATTTCCATTTGATATACATATTATATCCCGTGAGCTGCAGCCACATCCATCTCTCTCATCATGTGAAGAATCAGGACAAATATACCATTAGTAAAGGCCGAATGTATATTGCCATATAGCAACACAGTATTCTGAATGAATGACCTGAACAAGAGGTTTGCACAGAGACATTAAAGACATAAGAATCTTAATACAGCAACACATCCAGAAAGTTAGGATACAAATGATAAATATGATATGATCATATACCATACATAACACATACATGATGCAGAGGTGGCTATGGAAAATACTCACTTTTTCACTTGATTCTGCTTCCTTTTGGCTTGTGCACCCCATTGGTGCATAGCAGGGAAATAGGTACTTGTGTGTAGTGGAAAAAATTACACTGACTAATAAACACGAGCATTTTACTTAGAAAAACTGTCACAAACTATTGCTGAATGAAATTGACAAACAACCAATACAAATAGTGCATCAAACATGTTATGAACCTAGGATGAAGTCCTGGCCCATTGAAGTCAATGGGAGTTTTGCCATTCACTTCAAGGGGCCCAGGATTTCACCCCTCGTTTCAATATTTGTGATTCATAAACTGGTTAGTGTAAAATTGGAATGTGATGCATTAAACAAAGCATCCTATTCCCTCATGCAATTGTGTTTTAACTAATACAGTATATCACAAGTATAATACAACATTTGACAGAGGTTTAGGAGGAAATTGACAAATGTTTTCCAATGTATAGGAAAATGTCAATGATCAAAAATTCTATTATTAATTAATTGACTTAGTGTAATACATTTTATATAGGCTATAAGGTAAGCCTGTACTGGCATTTTATAAGTCGCATATTATTTTTAAACATAAATATCTATTACCCTACAGTAGAAAAAAGGTTTTTGGATTTTGTTGAAGATTATTTTTATGTAAGAAAAGCCATGTAATGTATGACATCAAACCTATTGTTGAATATGAATAACCTTGTGTACTTTAATGTTAAATATTAAGCATCAAATCAAGTAATTGTATTAAATTCTGTTACTAGTATGTTGCTGGGGAAAATATTGCTAAATTTAAGCCAAAGTTGCTGGTTAGCCACATGATTTTTTTTTTAATTATCCAATTCAGATGTATTATACATTTGTGTCATTTTCATTACTTATAGTCTACCACCTATCAAGTTTCAGGTAATGGACCTGTATTCTTGCATTTACTGGCTTTACAAAGATGAAAACAATGAAGTATGTAAAATAATCTAATTTGAAATATGAGTTAAATGCTACTGAAAACTTAAGGGATTTTATGTATTTATAAATGATACCACTATCAAGTGGTTGTTATATATGATTTTATATATACATATTGTACATATGAATAGGTGTGTATATATATATATATATTATGATAGGTAAATACTGACAGCATGAATAATATTTGACCTTTTAAAATCAATTTTAAATACTCTACTGGTAACTGACATATGTATATTGTGCTTACTACAAATCATTTGATCAGAAAATTTGCATTTTTTTGTTCAAAAGCTCCAAAGCACAAGCAGTTAATTTATTTACCATAAGCTATTATCTTCTATATTATGTTCTGATGACACAAAATTTAATTTTGTATAAAATATTTTCTGAAGGGTCAAGCTCAAGCAGACTCACTAAAACTAATATACACCAATTGAAAACCTAAACAACGAATGAATTTCTCCTCATTCCCCTTTTTTTATTTGTGGCATTTTATAATAGCTTTTTCTTTTGGGAAAACTATAATTGCCTGTTAAGTTTTGACTCACGAATGTTAATGCTTATCTGCTAGTTAAATTACATTCTTCATTAGATTAACATATGTCAGCTGCCTACTGGAATCCTAACATTCTGCCCACCTGTGATGTCATAGTAAGGAGGGGCTTTTCCTCTGCAGACTCCTCCCTCGGTATCTCCTTCATCACCATGGCAACAGCCTTATCTGCCGCCCTAGAGCCTTTCCCCTACAACAGTGAAATCAACAATGGCTTGTGTCAGGAGGAATCTTTGTTACTGGTTACAAAAAATACACCCCAGAACAATCCAGTAATTAAATGACGGTGTTACGCTGGAAGTAAAAGTATGTTGTTGTTGAAAATAAAATACACACATACTGTTAAAAACAAAATACCAAAACCAAACAAGCAAACAAAAAAACCCCCAAAACTTAATTGATAACAGAGTTGGGGCCCCGTCCTGCAGCTTTTACTCATATGAATCACTCCATTGACGTCAATAGGACTACAAACTGCCTTGCTTTTGTGAGGCCTCGCGGGAGTACATCAGCAGGAGTGAAGGAAGTTGAGAATCTCACAGAACTTGGCCCTCATACGAGTAATATCTGGAGGATCAGGCCCTTAATTTCTTCACCACTAGTTAACTGTAGTTATCTGCAACTTTACAGCTGAAATATACATGCTTTCTACTCAAATCAGATTATAGACAAAAAGAAATCAGACTGTTATGAAGATTTACAGCTTACGTAAAATGAAAGTTAAATTCTCCTTTAAATACTCTAAATTTAAGGGCAAAATTCTCCTCTTGGATCTACATTGTAGATCGTGAGTCTCTGATACTCTGCTCTCCCTGTATGTATAGAACTTCTGTAAGTATCAGTGAATGTCTGAGGGTGTAGGGAGAGAAGAGTAGTGGAGCTTGATTAGACTTTTCTTACACTCACAAAACTCCATTGAAGTCCATGGGAGTTTGGGGTGTACAAAGACTGAAGGATCTGGCTCCATGACTTCAGAATTTTGCCCTAAGCTTACATACATTTCATTAACTAAGAGTCTATTGAATGTATTTCTTAACTACAGTACAGTATAATAAGAATGATTTAAAATAGCATTGTATACTGTGTCCTAAGAAGGATACTATTTATTGATACCAAACAATGTGATGTAATTTTTATATCACAAATACCGTATAATCATTCACAGCTCAAAAACATGTGCATAATATTGCAATTTTAAAACAATGTTTATGAAAAACCAAGGTCAAATTTAACTTATTTGTGCAACGCATTGCAGTTAACCTAGAGAGAGTTCTTTGCATGCTGCAAGAAGTTCTCATACCATAAGTGTCATAAAACATAGGCATGCTCAATTTGTAATTCCTTTGATATCCAAAGAACTGCAAAAGGCATTGTAAAGTTTACTTCAGATTAGGATAGTCTCTCTTATTTGGTGAGAAGAGAGTTCTAAGTGCTAAGCATATCAAAGGTTCTTGTCCAAACATTTATTTATTCACGATTCATTCGATATGTTACAAATCCATGAAAATATTTTCTTTAATATGTGGAGCTACTATTTAGCTAGCATTAGTAACATGCTGTTTGACTTTCAGAAACCTAATCCTTTTGTGTTGAATGCTATAGAGAAGTAGTTTATTAGCTAAAAAAGGATGCATCAGAAAGCATGCAGTGCTTTTTATTTCTTGCACAGTAGAAACCCACCAAAGCAAAGGTCAGGTCACTTTTTTGAAGACAGAGCCACTTTTTCTTCAAGGTTTCACCTACTGCCTGAAAAGAGTCATGATACTCACATTAGTGCCTGCTATCAACTTTTTAAAAAAATAGCCCTGTGAATGGCTGATATCATACACCACATATCTCATCACTTTAAAAGTGTGGCTATAGTCAGAATAGAAACTCAGTAAAAATGACATCTTAGGATACTGTATTGCTTTTCCTTCAGTGACTTTCATCTCACATTTGCTATGTTTGGAAGTCAAAACACAATTGAACTGCAACCCCACAAGAGCGTGGGTGAACCATGTTGATTTATTTCTGACTGGTACACTCATGACATACAATAAAGATTCTGGAATCAGAACTTAGCTTTGCAACATATTTGATGATAGGAGAGGCAGAGGCAGAGCAGAATACAGCATCTGTAGTTCCCAGTGATTTCAATGGAGGGAGATGCAGGTGCTCAATACCTCTGAAAATCTGGCCACATATTTAGGTGCTTAAATATGGATTTCAGTGCCTAATGTTAGGTGTCCACGTTTAAATGTTTTGGCCACTTCAGGGTACTCTTGTATATACTTGAAATTTTGCCTGTCTGTAAATTTTTGGCATCAGTACCTCTGGCAGCTTGCATGAGCGAGTTTGATTATGTCTTGTGGGACACAATCAATTAAGGCAAGTTTCCGTAGTGTAGTGGTTATCACGTTCGCCTAACACGCGAAAGGTCCCCGGTTCGAAACCGGGCGGAAACAGTTTTGGGGGGGGGGGGATAGCTCAGTGGGTTGAGCGTTGGCCTGTTAAACCCAGGGTTGTGAGTTCAATCCTTGAGGGGGCCACTTGGGAATCTGGGGCAAAATCAGTACTTGGTCCTGCTAGTGAAGGCAGGGGGCTGGACTCGATGACCTTTCAAGGTCCCTTCCAGTTCTAGGAGATGGGATTATCTCCATTAATATTTAATATTTCCCCCTTTCCTGTAGAAAGGAGAGGGAAAACAAATCCAGTCTTTGTATCTAGGGCACAGAAATGGTTAATACACTGCCGTTAGTTAGCTATAATTGAAATGATAATCTGTTGGGTTCTAATTACAATATTTTAAACACAGAGATTACTATATACATAATCATGCAAGAACTGCTTTAAAATGTGTATTTATTTATTTGGCTGCCTCCATTGTTAAGTTGTTCTCCATTGTTAAGTGTTATTTCTTAGCAATATTGGATTGCTGTACATATTGTCTGTTACTGTAGCTTGGTGTTGAGCACTATAGTTCTTCTGGAACAGGTAATTTTACACTTGCAAGCTCCTCATAATGAACAGTTCATCATAACTCAGAGACCTGGGGTAAATTATTTTCTTATATATGCATCATTTTGATCACTGAGTGAATGAGTTTCACAAATACCTCTTTTGTCAGCAATGTGCAGATTTAAACAATTATGATGCACAGCATGCAAACCTGCATATAAAGCAAGGATACTGTCTTGAGTGAATTGGTGCAGGGAAAAGATATGATTTGCTTTCATACAATATACTGTAGCAGTAAAACTGAGGAGTATATCAGTGTTTTGTTGTCTGGTACAATTAAGACTAAACCACTCCTTTTTAGGAAATATCTCCAAAACAAGATAAACAATACAATAGAGTATTTCCACAGCACTTTGAATATTGTAATAGGGTCAGCTAAAAACTTGCTAACGATTTCTGCAGGTTCTCCCAGGATGAGAGAATGGATGGTAATAGACATTTCCACAGGAGTGTGCAGATTTTGCAAACCCACTCTGTAGGGAAATACACTGGTTTAGCAGCTGGTGTTTCTGAATAGCGCCAAATTAAATTCAGTACAAGTCACACTACTTCCAAAGAATGTGAAACTTGTTAATGAGGATTTAATTAAGCTACTGTAAAAGAATATTAATTTAAGGTTCAGGACAGCATGAGCATTTTTTAGTGAGTGAAAACATATAATTTAGCAACTTTGTTCACGTTGTATAAAACTTCTTTCCAGCATTTAATATTTGAGCACATGATCATTTTCTGCTACAGATCATTTGTGAGGCCTGAGAGCCTGGGACAGCTGTATGATTCTTACAGATACATGACCATCTCGTAAAGGCCTTACCGTTTGTGAGAAGACAGTGAAATTTATAAATTGATTTGTTTGAAATTTGAAAAAAAAATTGTGTCTAAAGAGCTTATGATCAGTTCATTGCAAATATCTGATAGTCTAACTTCAACAAAGCCTGAACTTTTTTGTCTACTCCCCAATTGGATGTTGAATGTAACACAGTAAGAACTTTAATCTAATATGGGCTTTGAAATTCACTTATGGCAAATATTGAAGCATTTGAGCTTAAAATTCACCTTTTTCATGAATATTCATGCTGTTAAAATTGGAGTGTGAGAATTTTCATAAAAATGAGCATGAGAGAGTTGTTAGCATGGTCAAATTGACATTTATTTTCAAAGTCAACAAGTGTTCATAGACATTTTCCACACTATTGTCTATGTTCTAATACATACACACACATAGCCAGCATTGTGTTAGACCTGTGCAATTCCATTTGAAGTCAGGGAGGCTTTACCAGTCTATTTGAGAGAAGTATTTGGTCCAGAGTGAATGGTGTAGGGAGGTAGTTTTATATTTTTCTAGTGTAACTGTGTGCTGTTTCATTGATATATTAGGAATATTCACAACCTGCCTGTGTCCATACACCCTAAACTCATTTCTTGTGCAACAGCTATAATCTAAAGCAGTTTCACTAAGGTAAAGTACAGACATAGCCAATACAAGCACATATAATACCTGCCTAGCAATTTCTTACAGCATTTTTCCTTGCCTATTGAGGAGAAAAGAAATAACTTTCTTCCCTTACTTGTGAAGATAAATGTGAAAGGAGTGATCAACCATACGGTACTCTTCAAACAGTGCCACTGCATTAAAATGTAATGGCCCCATAGGACAAAGTGCCAATGTTTTTGGGGTCCCAAGGGAGCTAAAAAAAATTAACTGGCATTTTGGATTCACTTCTCTGAGGATGTAGTCCCCCTGGCTGCATTTAAACACCAAAAATGTTTTTGTCTTAAACTGAAAAAGCATGTTTGTGTATCGGCAATGCTAGAAACATACTTTCTCATTCCAAAATGAAGTTTTAAAGGCACTAGAAGGGGCTACAGGTACTCGTTCCTTATAAAGACTGAATCCAAAATGTCTGGTGGTGAATGCCTGCATTCATTGTCAGACTTTTTGTATTGAAAAAGCGATGCTCTGTATTTTATAAATTCATTGGCCTATAGTGAGGCTTAGGCTACATCCTCACTACGGGGGGGGCGGGGGGTCGATTTAAGATATGCAAATTCAGCTACGCAAATAGCGTAGCTGAATTAGACGTATTGGAGCCGATTTACCCCGCTGTGAGGACGGCGGCAAATCGACCTCCGCGGCTCCCCCGTCGATGGCGCTTACTCCTACCTTCGCTGGTGGAGTAGAAGCGTCGA